GGATTCGTTTTGGTGTGGAGTGTGTGCTTTGCCTTTTTTAAAATGTGTTTGGTTTCTTAGATTTTTTTCATTGTGGGTTGTATTGGTCCTTAGCAGTTGTCTCAGCTTTTACCTTTTGGAGTTAAGTTTTCCTGCACTCTCTAGTTTCCACAAGATCAGGAGCTCAGGTTCATTGTGTCTGGAACAGATTTTTTTGGTCCCTAAAGTCTTGGGTAGTGACTCTGCATTTATAGTTAATGATGATCCATGCAAGGCACTTTTGTTTTCATAATGGGGATCTGTGATCAAAACAAATGACACTTGGTACTCACATGATGCATAAGAATAAAAGAGGATGTTGGTCATCTTGACTCTTGAGCTGTTCCTAAAACTTCAGTATTTGTTTCCTCAAAGCTTCTGTACTGTTCTGGGCAGGAAGTTTCAAATGTAATTTTAAGGTTGTGTTTAATTTTAGGGTTGTCTTTTAAAATGCTGTTTATACAGCATTTGGGGACAGGGTTTGACCCAAACTGAGCCAAGAACATCTGCTGTGGAAGGGAGTCAGGTGTCAGTGTTGTGTTAGATGTCTGTGAGAGTCCAGTCCCCTCTGCTCAGGTTCTTTCAGGTATTCCACACATGGAGGGTGGAATGCTAAATGCTAGATTAACCATTTGAATATGCCTGATGGTACAGAGGATTTCTGATTTAGCAGTGTGATACAAAATACGCTGAAATCACGATGCAAATGCAAGTTCCGCTTCGCAAACTCCAGCAACTGCAGTACACAGTTTGTACACAACACTGGTGATATCCCCGTGTGTGACCAGGAGTGTGCTCCCTGTCACGATGCTGGGGACACCAGGAAGGAGTACGTGGGTTGGAGCCAGCTGATGCTCTGAAATTCCGTGGTTCTGTGGTTTTGCTGCCCCGCGGTGACCCCGGCACAGTCACAGTCACTTGTGACAAAGCACTGGGCAGAAGCGTTTCCAGCACCGGTTGATTCACTCACACTCGGCCGGGCTGCAGTCCGTGGGTCTGGCAGCGCTGTTTGTCTGGAACAAAGGGCGCTCTCTGCTCCTCTTTGTGCTGGGATCAGGCCGGCTCTGCCTCAGCTGGGCTCGGGCACACCCTGCTGCTGGCCCTGCTCGGAGCTGCCTTCCCTTGGGGGATCTGCAGGGCAGCCCCTGCCTGGGAATGGTCAGCACCGCAGCTTGGGTGGATTTGCAGAAAACTCACTGAAGGCACCAGACCCTGCTTAGCTGTGCTGGCTTTGGCTGGGGTAAAGTTCGTTTTCTCCACAGTGTCTGGTGTGGGGCTGTGTTTTGGACTTGTGCTGAGAGCAGGGTTGATAGCAATATTTTGGTTACTCTGAGCAGGGCTTACACTGGGTCAAGGCCTTTTCTGCTCCTTATCCCACCAGCAAAGAGGCTGGGGTGCACAACAAACTGGGATGGGATATAGCCAGGACAGCTGACCCCCTAACAGGATTATTCTAGGTCATAGATATAATAATATATAAATCTGGAGGAAGAAGGTGGAAGGGATGGCATTTGGAGTGACTTTTGCCTTTCCATGTTACACAGGATGGAGCCCTCCTTTCCTGGGGCTGGCTGAACACCTGCCTGCTCATGGGAAGCAGGGAATGAATTCCTTGCTTTGCTTGAGCACACAGGTTTTGCTTTCCTTACTGAGCTGTCTCCATCTCAACCCATGAGATCTTTCACTTCTATTCTGCTGATTCTCTCCCCCATCCACTGTGGGGGAGTGAGTGAGTGGCTGGCTGGGGCTAAACCACAACAATAGTCTAGATATTTTCATTGTTTGGGTGTGATGAATATTTGTATCAGTATTTTTAGTTTGCTTTCTACTGTACAGTATGAGTGGCATGGTAGGAAGATACCGCACAGTGTGTCAAGGCTTCAGGCTGGCATAAATGCTTAGGTGTTTGTGCATCATAGAAACACTCCCGGTTCCACATGCAATTAATTTCTGAGCTCAAAGGCATTTATTGAATGGGAGAGGAGAAAGTGATTGGAAGTTCAGATTACTCAGTGTAACTCAGTTTTGGTAATTGGAGACACGAGGTGGGCAGTGAACACTGTGACACTCTACTGCAGTGTGGTGACAGTCACTCCACAGACCCAGCTGTGCTGCTCTGAACTTCTCTTCTCTTGATCACTTTCTGATATTGCTGTTCACAGATTATTTGGGTGTTGAGCAGAAGGAGAGTATAGAAGCAAATGATTAGTTATTCCAGCGTGAGGATATTTCAATATTTGTCTCAAGTAACACATTGACCAAAATTGTTGCTGTCACTGTTCCTGTTATGGGAGTGGTGATGTACTTCTGAAAGCTGCTAGACATGAGAACATTGTGAAAGTTGCCAATTCTGGAACTTCAAAGTTTATAAATATATATTTACAGTAGTTCAGTGCTAATTCAGCTCCTTACTGTATCTCCACAAAATAGGAAAAAGTATAAATATATTCAGGCATACTCTTGTAATGTAGCAATGGGCACAAAATTATCATTGTATAGACGGCTTTGTTAGGATGCAGCTTGATGGCAGATGATATATTTTGTAAACTCCATTTCCTTTGCATGGAGGATTTTTTCCCTAAGTGATTTTCTGCTTATTAAAAAAAAAAAATAATGGAAAAAGCCAATATTTGTGTGCCTATAGAAGTCACTCCTCAGCATAGTGGCCCACACCTAAGAGACAGAGTTCTCTCAACTCCCATCACAGTAAGCAGGTAGAAAAGGAGAACCTGGATCAGTGAGCAGCACTGCTGTCCCTTCCTGGCAGATCCTGTGGGGTGGAAGGAAAGTCTGTCAGGGAATATGGGGAGGGAGTTCCTGTGAGTGGCTGTGGGTTATGTGGGAGGAGCCATTGAGGGAATTGAGATTGAACATTTGCTGATAGAATTAATTGCCTCTTGTTGATGTGAGGCTGAGCTGCCAACTTATAGGCTTCTGTGATAGCTGTAATTTCTTTTAATTAACACCATCCAAATATGGCCACAAAAAAAAAGCCCTCAGAGCTCAGGTTTTTATTTTTCCTTGCACAGAAGGACATCCCTAATTCTTTCCCTTTTCACCTCCCATTGATATGGAGAAGGGGAACAATTGAAGCTGATGTGAGGCAAGGGTCAAATATATAACCTTTATTTAAGATTACACAGTTTTGTCATACTCTCCATAACTGTATCACACAAAGCCAAACTGCCAACTTTCCTTAACAGTATAGTGGTTAAAAAACAACCAAATTTTTAAAAGGTAGGGTTTTTTTTTGAACAGAGGAGATTACTTTGGGATAAATTTACCATTTTGAGCGTGTGAGGGGGCCTGACACTGGTGCTGAAGATGTGATACCTCTGTCCTCTACTGTCACTACATAAATGAAACTTGTAACACATCAGAGTTTCATTTCTGTGCTTTCCCGTTCTGTAAATGTAAAAGCTGCAGGAGAGAGGCACTGGGGAGCTGTGCATTTGGCAATATTCCACAAGACAATCTGAAGGGTAATTGGGATGGGGAAGGACAGGACAGCAGTGACTCTCAGAAGCCAGAAATGAGATTTTTTCCTTTATGTGGTCTGTAATTTAAAGCTTAAGTGCAGTTGAATGCATTTCCAGCGGAGGAATCAGTGTTAATTAAAGCACATGGACTGGGAGTGTAACATTAAAGTGAAATGTAGCATCCTCTCTCCTGTGAATGAGAGTTCTGTCAGTTTTCCCAAAACAACGGAGGGTGGAATGTGAGTGGCTGTGCTGAACAACTCAGAAGGGACTGGTAATACTCAGAAATACCTGGAAGCTGTAGTGTGTGACTGACATTTGCCCCATTGCTCTCTTTCATTGCTTTCCTTTCTGCATTGCATTCTTATGGTGACACTTTAAAATTTGAGGATATTTTACTGCTTAAATTTTGCTCTTTTTTTGGGATATTTTCTTATTTAAATATTGCAGTTTCTTGCCTTCCAAGCTTGTCTTTCTGACATACTTGGTTTAGGTCACTTGGAGATACAGCTTTTCAGAATATTTTATTGCATTCCTTAGAGGCATTAAGTATGAGCTGCTGTAAAACTGTTTTGTCATGTGGCATTACCCAGTTACCTGTCACTCTCCATTTGTTTTCAGACCATGCAATACTCTGAATTAAACTACAAACCAAAAGTGAACTTAATAAACAGCAGCAGCTTTGGAAGCACTCACCTGTGCTATGGACATAGATCCCTGGAAGCTGATTTATAATGGTTTTCACACTAGAGGGCACTAACAGCTCATTAATTTAAGCACAAACCAATTTTTACTCTGTAACGCTGGGGTTGGATAGTCTTACAGTTTTTATAGTGGTTGCCAAAGGCTTCCATTTCTTTGCAGCCTTTTCTCTGCAGAAATGAAAGTCATAGCATTCATGCAAGGATGCATTAAAAGTCAGTGTGTGGAGTTTTCCTTTGTGTGTTTTTCTGTTTGGGGTTTTTTTTTACTAAGCAATAGTTTGGGTCATTTGTGGAGAAAATTATAAATTCCATTTTTACTTTTAATTGCTTTCAATGTAATAATTTTTGCTTAAAGCTGGTGAGGAGTCCTGTAAGACAGGAATTGATAAGATAATACCTTAAAGTTACCTAATAGAGTTAACATATATAATGGAATACACTTTTTAAAGCTGGTAAGAAAAGGAAAAGCAGAATATATGAACTGATGTTGCAGATCTCAATTTGTTAGGACTACTGCATATGTTTACATATTGATTCCTGGCATAGAGAAAACAATATTGGAAAAAAATATCGTAAGTCAATACTGCCAGTGACTGATGGATCTTAATGGAACCTTCAGTTGTTTATGTTGGTTTTGAGTATTTTGGTAATCTTAAAATACAGGTCAGAATCCAAAGTCTGGACCTCAGAGTCGTGTAGCCATTTTGGAAGTCCTTTATTTTGTTAAGGATTTTAGGCACTGCATCTGGATGAAAAGCCCTGCAGAAAGTGGTTTGTGACACCTTTTTGCTCTTTGTAGGAATGGTTATTGGGTTGCCTTGGAGATGATCCTGCTGCTGTAAATGTAGGGCTGAAGATTCATGGTGTGGCCAGTATGGAGCTAATGAACGGACAGTCCAGTGGTGTTAACATTGCAGCTACTGCTTCAGAGGTAAGGATGGAAACCTCAGTTACTGCCTAACCATGTACTCAACTTTTACTTTAAAGTGCACTAAAATGTGAGTTTTTCTTTTAACAGCTGTCATCCAACAGATTCTTGTTCTATGTGTTGGTTTCATACACTCCAGTTCAGTGTGAATAAAATGTAAAGTCCTGAACTTGGCATACCAAAATAGAGCATGAACTTGCATATACCATAGCCAAAGCTGACTTTTTCCATGTTCTCTTCCATCACATCTAGACAAGGAAGCTTTTCTTTTCAAGTTTTAGCAAGAATAGACACTCTTAGCACATTAAGCTGGCTTGGCAAGGCCGGTGGGAAATGTTCTCTTCTTTGACAGGTACTTGTAGTGTGTACTGAGGAGCAGTCTGACACAGCAGCAGTGAATAAAGTTGTTCCCTTTGTCTCTTGGACTCTACTCTGGCATAGGTGGGGATCCCTCCTGCCCATCAAAGCTTCTGCCCTCTAGAAATGAGCAGCTTGTGAGCTGAGTGTGTGCATCAGCCAAGCAATGGAGATTGGCCTCCTCTGCTGGTGCCTCTCAGTTTGAAGTGAATGTGGTTTTCCATTTGTCATCTGCTTGTTGAGGAACAGCCTTGGGCTGAAATTAGAGCGCTACAAAGTCAAAGGGATGAGAGCCACAAAGTCCTGACTCAAGTTGCTTCCTCCACGAATCTCAGGACTGTAACAAAGATATTTTGTTTATTTACCTGTTTACAGATGAGTTTTGATAGCAGCTATGTGTGGTGTGCACTTGCATATGGAAATGGGGAGTACCACAAACAAGGTAAAAGACTCCAAAAAAAATTGGAGTCTTGTGCTACCAAAAGGAACCAAATAATGTCCGCCACAATTTCACAACTCTTGTCAAGAAAGCTGGCATTAGTGTCCAAGATCATTGTTTGTTTTTATATAGATTCTTGTATTCCTGTTATAATTGCTTCATGAATCATTGACTGTTTTTTGGCATGCACCTGAAAAATTTTCTTGCAGGAAAACAACCTTTTTACTCAGCAAAATAGTCTTGAATGTTTATGTGATGTCTGATAAAATTGAGTAACATATATTTTGGCAAAATTACATGAATGTACTTTAAGCAAGTGGTATTTTTTTTCCTATCCTGACTGAGAAGTAGGAAAGAGGACTTGTAACTGAAATGTTTCTGTAAGCATACTGGTTACCGAAAATGTATGTCTGGTTTGGAGCTTTTGGTGGAGTTTTCAAAGGCAGATTTTTCAGAGAGATTGTAATATGAGTCTAATTACAAGTGGACATCATTATTAAATAAGCATTTTCTTTATAATGTGTCCTTATAACAAAACTGCTTGAAAATGGACATGAGTTTATTTCAGCTGGCTGAATTCTCAAGGACCCATGTCCACAGCCTTGAAAGCTTGCAGCATTAGCAGTGAAATGGCACAGGCTGTCACAAAGGGCCTTGGTTCTGCTGGCCACCCCAGCAATCCCACCCTGTGCATCCCTGGCAGTGCTGTCCAACCCCTCCTGGAGCTCTGGCGGCCTCAGGGCTGTGCCCATTGCCTGGGCAGTGCCAGCACCCTCTGGGGAAGAACCTTTCTTTCCCTGATACCCAAGCCTAACTTCCCCTGACAGCTTCAGCAATGAATAAATAGAATGTTGGTCTGCATCTCTGTGCTAGGGGAAGTGATTGCTCATAACACAGATGTACTGCTTTAGTGTGAGAACTGTGTATGAAACATATGAAGCCAATATGAAGTGTTTATTTTTTGAGTCATGTTTGTATTTTGCAGGGAAGCAAAATCTTTATTTTGTAGATAAATGTTCATAGAATGATATCCTAAGATCTGGTATTTTTTGCAAATGTGAATTACTGTAATTTAAAAACAACACTAAAATTCCTTCTGCTAAATGTCTTCAAAAGGAACCCATGTAGCTCAGTGTAATTTTTGTAAGCTTCCTTGTTTTTAAGAGAAAGAGGAAGAGATTTAATAAGTATTCCCTTGGAGCAGACCCTTTTTCCTTACCTTTGTGATATTTTTTCTGGTTGAAACTCAGTGTGACTGTATTGCTTTTGCTGTTATAGTTGCTCTTATTACCTTTCCTGTCAATAAAATTGGAATTTAATTATGCATTGAGGTATAATTATTGTGTTTTGAGAAATTCCTTTGAAATTATGTAACTAATGCGATAGGAAGGGATAGTAAAGCTCATGCAGTGCCACCCCCTGCCATGGGCAGGGACACCTTCCACTGTCCCACGCTGCTCCAAGCCCCATCCAGCCTGGCCTTGGACACTTCAGGGATCCAGGGGCAGCCACAGCTTCTCTGGGCACCCTGTGCCAGGGCCTGCCCACCCTCACAGCAAAGAAGTTCCTAATATCCAATCTAACCCTGCCCTCCTGCAGCTAGAAGGAAATCCATAGAAATCCAGATGTCACTTTGAGGGTCTGATTTTTTGCAGGAAAAAGTCTGTTCTGTGACTGAATTTGAATTGATAATTTACCCAATAGAAAATTATGTGAACAATAACATTTGGACAGAAATTTTGCTTTTGGGAGTGTAAAAAAGAGAAGACAAAAAGAAGAGGACAGGTCCAAAACATCCTCAGTGATTTTTTGTCTCTGCAGAAGAGTAGCAGCTCCGAGTCCTTGAGTGACAAGGGTTCAGCTGAACTGAAGAAGAGCTTTGATGCAGTGGTATTTGATGTTCTAAAGGTCACACCAGAGGAATATGCGGTAAGCAAGTCCAGGAATTCCAATTAACTTTGTGTGTGACTCTCCTTTGCAGCTTTTCCTCTGCTTCTCTTTCTGCAGCTTTTTTGCCTAATTTCTGTCATCCATGGATTTTAAAAACAGATCCTGTTCTTTAGTTCTTCATTGTCTCTATTCTGTTTGAAATTTGAATTGAAATTAATGTATCTTTAATACATTAATTAAAGATTAATTAATCTTTAATTAATGTATTAAAGATACATTAATTTCTCTGCTGTCCAGGTATTTTTCATACTCTTATATGTAGCATAGACCAAAGATTCTTTGTTTATGTGATGCAATTGAATTCTGACATGCATCTTTTAGTTGCAAGGCTATATTTGATCTGTACTTGGGTTTTTTTCTGGAACTATTTGTATTCTTAACTCTGCTTTCCTAGTTTTCTTCTTTTGGCTGCACAGAATAATGAGATGTTTAACCAAAACGTTGGGTGATTGTTTTGTTTTGTTTTGTTTTTACTCCCTGTGGAGGTGAGGACAACAGATGGTCCCTCTAAGTGATTCAAGTATGTTGCTAGAAAGATATCTAAGCTCTTAATGTATTTCCAATTCAAGTGATGAGATTCATGAGGAGTTGTCCTGGGGAGATTATTGATATGGAGTAATACGTGTCACAAAATATTCCCATTTAGTTTTTTCTGGTTTGTAATTGTTAATAACTGTTTCAGTTAATTATTAATGGCACAATTGATTTTAATGAGAACACTGAAAATTTAAAGCAGCTGGATTATGAAGTGGTACTTAAACATTAAATTCTTCTTGGCTAAGGATCATAATTAATTATGGGATTTCTTCCTGACTGAGGCTCAAGTCATGTGGTTTGGGCCTCTTCCTTGCACTGTTGTCAGGATCAGCTGGGCAATGCATCGCCCACTTTCCATGGGAAGATATTTTTTGGGGCTGGCTGTCCTTCCAGTTTTATCTCATGATTCCTGTACATAAAGTAAACCTAACTTAGGGAATCTGGGGCTAGGGACATGAATTCCAGTGGATTATGCATTCAGGCCAGAATGAGTTTGTTGAATGGCTCTACTATTTACCAGTGGTAGATGCTGTTGGGCAGCAGAATGGATCAGTCAGTCTCTGTGGAGCTGCTGTCACTCCCTTGGACAGCAGAATATACAGAGGTGCCTTGTCATAGAATCACATTTCATAATTCTTGTGCTCCACCATCTAATCCTTCTTCTCTCAAATGCAGCAACCTTTGACTCCATGTGTTCTAAATGTTACCCACTTTAGAAATCTTGGTTAGGAAAAAATCTGTATCCAAATCCAGTGTTTTTCCTGTTTTCATGTTATGCCTCATAGTGGGTAGAGTTCTACTCACCGACAGGAATCTTTTAATTAAGCATTTCACATTACAGTTATGCAGCTGTGCCTGTATTTTTGGTTTCTATTACTAATCATAATTCTGCTGTTTTCTCAGTCCTCAAAAGAAACATTTTTGCTTTTAACCTTTTTCCTTTTAAAGTATCTAGTTCTTTGTAGCAGGTTTGATTTACTATAAATCAATATGAAACTTTTTGCATGTAGAATTCTGAACAGTTGAACAAAATCATCAGTATTCACTCCCCTGGCAAGGAAAGAATTGATTTCATTTCTTTTTCAGTGTTTCTTTACACAGCTACACTTCTTTGTTAATGCTTGTTTCCCCAGGCATGTATCTGCTTTTCCAGTAGCACCTTTTTGCTTTGAATACTGTCTTTTTCTGATCATTTTTGCTGAAGGTTATAGAAATAAATAAATTCTTGGCAAAGACTTAGGTATCCTGGAGGAAAAGTATCTTTGACTCTTGTTTTTATTTTCTTGGCCACTTCTTTCTCTTCCTGGGTTTAACCCTGCTACAAAAGAGAGGTGTAAAATCTTCATCTGGGTTTCAGTGTGCATGTGAAGACCACCAGAGTGATGCAGTTGGGCCAAACTCTAGAGGATGCAAAAATGTGTGAGGTTTCCTGGTGGTGGGTAGTACCTCTTGGGTTGGACATGGATATGCTCCCAGTTGCTTTTTAAAATATGAGAAAACTTCTCATTTAGTGATAGCTCTTGCAGAATGGATCCAGTGCAGGCTGCAGACATGTCTCTGTGACAGCTGAGTGAATACTGTTTAAAATAATGTAATTTATTTTGAAGTGGTAAACTGATGAAATAATTTGTGGGCTACCTAAGTAGCTTTTGATTGAGAGCAAAGATAACATGAACAAGCCAGTAAAACAGCAATAAAAGTAAGTTGCTGCACAAGAGGTAGTTAGGCAGCTGTCTAAATAATGGTTAGGAAGCCTTGGCTCCAATGGAAGAGTTCCTGAGCAGAGGCAGTGTAAAGGTGAGAGTTCACTGATCAGGATCAAATCAACACAGACATTTTGAGGTCCCATCCTGTACCTTGTGTGATCTGTTTTGATCAGAACAGGTCCCTGTGCACACATGGGAGAAATACAGTTATGAAAAAGAACAAAAATCTGAAAGATAATGAAGTTTGAGATATGCTGGAAGTAAGATCCATGCTAGTGATTTCAGTACCAGTGAGAGGCACAGATGTATTTTCGGTTCCCAGTGTCTCAAAGACATCATTATCATTCCAAAACTGTCTCTGTTTAGTCATTTAGTGGGTAAGAGACAAGTTGGACAACAAAAGGTTATAATCCTGGATTTTCAAGAAGCTGCTACCAAGCCAAAAAGAAACCTAAGTGCAGATATTTTTGGTGATTTTATTTCCATATTCTCCCCTTTGGCAGTCATCTAACACTGTCCTGAGTACACAGGAGGAGGGCTGTTTCATGTAATGGTCCTTTGTCTCTTAAGCAAAAATCTTCCAGGCCTTCAAGGGGGCCAGTTGGAACAGTAATGGAAATTCTTGTTGTAATAGAGGTGTAAGAGTCAGTTATAACCTTGTTAGCAGCTGGGTGGTTTTAATCCTTCCCAAGATTGAAGGTTGCTTTAGAAAGGGCTGAGTTACAGAAATGGGTGAGATCTTCAGGCCCTGCTGCTGCTGCAAATTTATAGTTTGCTTTATCACCTTGCAGCTTACAGAGAGCTTCCAAGGGATGTATTGAATACCTGAGTGTTGCATGGATTTTGGGGAAGAAGAATCCCTTCAATAAATATGAAGTAGTGTTGGGATCTCTAGCTTGTCAGAGTGACCCCGAGATGTGTTATAAAGTCTCTTTTTCCAGCCTGGCACTGAAGAAGGAGTCAAAGCTCTTAATTTCTCAGTCTCAAGGTTGTTTATTGTTTCTTATCTATAAAAAATTTTCTCCTACCCTGCTGAGGTCTTTCCAGCAGGACAGTTCCAGGCACTCTGCCTGCCCCCAGGGTGGTGGTATGTCTTCGTACTAAAAACTACATATACAGTGTTTACAATTACTTTCCAGTGCCTATCACCTATGTTAGACAGTGAGCTTCTACTCTAAACCAATCTGTAAGTGCCAACATCACAGCAGAAGATGGAGGCCAAGAAGAAGAAGGAGAAAGGCTGGACATGCCCAGATTCCTCCATCTTGTTCCCTGAACCTCCATTCTAAACAACCCCAAAATCTACTTTTTCAGCTTGTGATAAATTCACTATCGTTCTACTTAATTTGTCATGGCTTGGAGATCTTCATCTAAGGTTGGTAACTTGCTCCATGGGTCATAATCAAAACCACAGGGGCATTTTTGGGCTCTGTGCCAGGGTCTCTGAGACCCCTGGCAGGCGTCTTGCCTGCTCAGGACAGCCAGAGGGATGCCCTGGGTCCTGACATAGCAGGACACATTAAGGATTCAATGGCCAGCTTTGTAGATGGAGCTAGGAAGGAGACCATCTCTGATTTAAAGCCCTGCTTTTAGGCTGGTCACTGCCCAGTTCTTTATTGCTGGGCTGGAAGCCACAGCCAGGCTGGTGCCAGCCTTGCCCCGTGGTGTCTGGCCCTGCTGGGGGGGCCCTGGGGTGTCCAGGGTCGGCGTGGTCGCAGTGAATGCTCCCCATTTTCATCCCAGGGAGAAGTGTGGTTTTGAGCACACAGGGCACAATTTGTGGAGGAGGGATCTGTCAGTGGTGCAGTGGCAGTGGGAAGGGGAGGCTGGTGAGGCTGAAGGAAAGAAGGAGAATGCTTGGGGACATGAGCTCCAAATTAAGGTGCTGGCCAACCTCAGGTTGAGGAAATATTTATTTTTTGCTTTACAGTAAATTCTTATTCCTTAGACAGCTACTGTTTAATTATTAGACTGTTTATTACTTTTTGACTCACTTTTCCATTTTATACTTTGACTTAGCCACCGTGGTGTAAATATTTGAGGTAGAATTAAGGGAAGCGCAGCTGTATAAATCCATTGCTTTTTTTTCCACCTAGTTATCTAAGAAGGATTCTTTATTCTTTGCCCTAGTCCCTGGAAGTGCTATGGACTAAGCTCATACTAAAATGTATGTGTATTTCTTTCTTTTTAATTCTCATGAAGCTTTGTCAGATAGTTGTTGGAAGAAAATGCTGCTTATTTTGGAAACAATGTGAAAATAGAGTTTATTTTAAAATGGTTTCAATGAAACAAGAAGGAGTCCTTATGACAGTGAAATATCAGGTTATCTACATCCTGCTAGCTTTACTTCACAAAAGAGTATTAGAGTAAATATGTTGCCAATGAGAGCAAGAAGAAGCAACTTAATTACAGCATGTGGAGGAACTCTTAATGATACAAATTTTGGAGTGGACTTTGTGAGAAAACAAGTAGAGCTTCAACACAGGAACTGGAATCCCCTGGTGTTCATTCTGGACAGCAGAATTATTCTCCTACTGATGCTGTGCTTAACAGAGGCTTAGCTATTTTTTCAGTGAGCAAAATATCCTGGCAGCCTAGAGAGACAACACTAAGCCAAGTTGGAAGGCTTAAATATAATTCCTTCTAGAAATTCAGATTAAGGAACAATTTATGAAGTGCTGCTTCAACCAACATGGCTTCAAGTAAAATCAGGTGATGGCAGTATTCTTCAATGACCAGAATGCAGACATTTGACTTTTTAAATTTCAAACAGAAACTGAATTTGATTTTAGACTGAGGGTTTTCTGTCTGGGAGGGAGCAGTGGGGGAAGTGCCCTGTCCTTAGGGTAGGTACATGGCAGGAAACCTTACAGTACATACAGCAAGTGGCCTGATAGAAAGAGTTCATGCTTGAGAAGGACTAAAAAAGTGGGAATATAGCCCAGGTCCAATGAGAACTTTCATACAGAAATGTGGAGAAGAGCTTAATGCAGTGGTCTTAACTGGAACTAGAAGTTCTTAAGTGACAAGTTTTTGTGGAAGGAGAGTAATCCATGTGTCCTTATAGAAAAGAGAAAGAATCAGGAAATATTTTTGAATTTTATTTCATTAAGCTTCTTCATATTCCTCAAAGAAGCAGCACACAGAAATGTAGTTCTGAGTTGTTTGAATATAAAATTTCTGACCCGGCTGACCTCCCTGAGAGAGGGGTGAAAGCTCTTTATAAGAAGCTATGTGGTAATAATTTTAGTATTTTGAAGTACTTAATTGTTAACAAGTCTAACTTCTCAACACCCATGAGAGCTGAAATATTTTTACACTTGGCTGTGGAGACTCCCCAGGCAAGGTCTTTTCTATACGTGCAGAACTCCTGTGGCTGTGAAGGGGTGGGGAGGTGTCTTCCAGCAGCCATTTCACTGTGTTCATTGGAAAATGATCATGCACCCCTTTTAAAAGATGCTTTTGCCTTGTACAGCTGTTCAAGTGGTTGAGAATTGGGAAATGTAATTGTGATATATTAAAAACATACCTTTTCTACTTGTATTCTGGAGCTCTTATCTAGGATCTAGGGCAAACAGGAACAAAACCTCCATTCAGCTCACCCTGTGCAATGATGAAATACTTCATTATCTAAATGAACTTGGTAGAAATTTCACTTCTGGAAAGAGAGAAAATACCATGTTTCCCTATCTCTACATAATCAGAATGCTTATTTAAATGATAAGTAAGGACAAGTTCACAGTTTTGTACTGCACATGTAATTATTTTTATTTTTTTTAAATCTCTGCAGCTGGCAGCTCTAAAACCAGAGAAGTTATGGTTGGCGTGCTTCATGTAACAAGTTGATTTGAACACTTATAATTTTTGGTTTGAATATTAAAGCATTAAACCACATTTGGGAGAGGGCAGCTCTCCAAGAATTTGCATTGGCTGGGTTAAGGAGCTGGAGTGAGAAAAGTTAGTGCATTGTATCCCTCTCACTTGCAGAAACCAAACTAGGGGCTTTGTTTATTGGGGTTCAAATTCCCCTTGAGAGGGTCAGGGCTGAAGTTTTTTGTTGCTGTTAGAGTTGAGCAATGGCACATAACATAAAACTCAGAAATTATTTTTGAAGCTTTGTCATTTCAAGTGCTATTAATTAGACTGCCAGCCTTTCAGTCTGCTTTATTTACTTAGCAGCGAGCGAGCACGTTTTACAAGAATAAAAATTCAATCATTAGACTTATAAATATAGACTTATAAATATGAGCAAGTTAATGTCTCAAAAAATCTGTTTTGTTAAATGTAGTTTTAGACTCTAATGTGAGTTATTGTCATATCTACAAACTCAAATGGCTTTTTAGCAATCAGCTTAGATATTCGGCTCTCAGTGGCTTGGTTCATTTGAATTATGAGCAATTTACTAAGCCCTGGGAACTCATAATAGAAATTTCAAGCTCTCTGAGAAAGGAACTGCAATAAGGGCTGTTTCTTGAACTAGTGCTTCTGTGATACATTGTTACTTAAGGTTTTAATAAAAGCTAAAATGTGTTAACCAGCAAGGAAAAAAACCCATCAGCCTAATATCAACATGGTGCTAGAAAAAAGAGATCTCTCTGTTAAAAGTTCCAGAGATTTTTTTAATTGTCAGACTTTTAAAATATTGTAATGTATTTAAAAGCAATTTCAAATATTTTTAATAATGACCACTAATCCTGAACCCTGACACTTGTGTGTTTTTTCAGTGTTAAAATGTCCTTTTTAATATTCCTGTTTAAAAAATGTATGCATTTATTTTTATATGTGAATTGTGGTGTGAAGTTCTAATAATACTTTTTATTTCATAAGTATTTTGTATTGATCTCATCTTAAAGTAATAATTTGTTCAGGAGTCACTAGTGAAGCAAGTCAATTTAGCTAAGGCAGTTCAGGCTGATGAAGAGGATGGATTCAGGAGGGCTAGCAAGAAAGCCAACATTTATTTTTAAGTCTTCTCTCTTCAGTGTGAACAAAGAATCAATTTCCTGGCTTATTATTGTGCTGTTATTGCAGTCTTGTTTTAGTGAGGAGGATTTGCAGTGAAATGTCAAAAACTATTGAAATGCCCATGTCTTTTGTAAGGATCTTTTAATGTGCCTTCTACTTGAATTTTATTGAACTGCCCATTCTTTTCATTTTATCTTCCCAAACCCACCCAATTTTGCTATTAATTTGCTTTACTGAGGAGCATAATGAACCACCCACTCAGCCACATACTCACCAAAAATAACACATTTCTGAGGAAGCTTGATAAACTGAAGCATACAAATGGGGGACTGGAGATGGAGTTCTGTGGCTGCTCTTCCAGGACGGAGTTCCTCACTTTCCTGCCACTCTCCTCACAGTAGCTGTGCCTGGGGTTGTGATCCAAGGGCAGCACCCAGCCCTTGGCTTTATTGACCCTCATTGATCCAGCCTGTCCAGGTGCCTCTGCAGAGAGGGATATTGGCCATTGATCCAGCCTGTCCAGATCCCTCTGCAGAGAGGGATATTGGCCATTGATCCAGCCTGTCCAGATCCCTCTGCAGAGAGGGATATTGGCCATTGATCCAGGCTGTCCAGATCCTCTGCAGAGATTCCCTGCCCTCCAGCACATCGACATTCCAGCCCCACATGGAGGTGTTTGAGGGAAAGAGCACTAGAGCAGAGACCAGGAAAGAGAGTGTGTAAAAGTGAAACATATAAAGGGCTTGTTACTTCTCTGCTGTTGTGTATATATATATATATATATATGCTCTGCTGTTATATATATATATATATATGTTATATATATATATATATATACTGCAAAATACCAGATGATTGTGTCAGGGTCTTGGCTACAGACAAATGATATATATATATAGTTTTTTTATGTTTATCCTTGGTTGTCAGAATTCCTATCAAAAAACACATTTAGAGGTCAAGATGTGCTACCAAATATAGATTGGGTTGTCTTTGCAAAACACAAAATCTTGCCTCATTAGAGCAGGTTCATTTCTGTAGTTGCTGACTTTCACCTAGAGCATCCCAGTTGAAATTTTCCTGCAAGGTTGGCTTTCTCTGAGGAGCTGTTCCACCATCCACAGTGGCATCCAGTGGCAGCTGCAATTTGTGAGAGTCACAAAGCTGTCAGTGTGTACCTTGGAGTGTATATATGGGGCACTGCTGTTTTCAAAGAAATGGGAATAAAGCTATGCAGCTGACAGCTGAGGGAACAGAACAAGGTCCCTGGATTCATTATTTAAAGAAAATTTGTGATTCCTAACTTGGATGGCACTGGTATTTCTGGGCTACGTTTGAAAGAAATAGTCTTTTTTTTCTAGATGTATAGGCTGTCAGCAATCCTAAAATGTGCAGGATTAATAAACTTATAATAAGGCTCTGTGAATATATTTCAAAATGCAGAACCTGGTCTTTGACTTGACTCTTTTCAAAGCTAAGCAAACATACCAGAATGAAAATGCACTTATTGACTGTGCCTTGCTGGAAAAGAGATGACTGTGTTGAATTTGAACTGTTGCTGAGCAACTGAGCAATTGCTTTGCTTTGTTACTCAAATATGGTTCAAGTATTGATTGAAAAGTTGTAGGGATGTTTCAGTAGAGCTGTGTAGCTGGGCTAACATTCAGAGTTTGGAGAGGAGCTACCCTTGAGCAACTGCAGTCAGTTCCTTGTCTTTTTGGGGAGGCTTTTATATGCTGTTTCTGAGTTCAAGCTCTTACTTGCCCGTGTAACTGCAGGAGTATTCTCCTAAGGATGATTTCTCATAATTTGTTTATTATTTGTGCATGTAAAGCTGGGAGCACATTTTTCTTTGGTTTTGCAGTGTGACCCTGTGGTAGAAGCTGAAACCTCTGAAATTAGGTAGCAAATGAAAGCCAAATAAGAAAAGGAAACAGGAAAAATGCACTTCTTAAGCAGCACAGCACCTAAATTGAACGCAAGGTTAATTTTGATCTTAACTTTTGTTTTCTTGAAATTTTTATTCCAGGGTCAAATAACACTGATGGATGTGCCTGTATTTAAAGCAATTCAGCCAGAGGTAAGTATTTCCTTACCTTTGTTTTTCACTTTAAATAAGAAAAGTGATGCCAGAGTATAAAATCTGGAATTGCCAAGTGCGTGTCTATAAATCTTAATTTTTGTCCCACTTCATACATTTCTGAAGCAGATGGTTTTTTAACAGAAAAATATCTGGAACTAATAGCCTGTTTGGGGACTGATACTGGTATTTAATTCAGCTTATGCTGGAGATGAAGCATGTGGGATTTAGTGTTTCTGAATGACAAACATCCTGATTTGATAATTCTGATTATAATGTTTTAGGTTTCAGCTACTGATACATGTTTTAATACTTCATCCTTTCCTTTGTTTCCATAACTGCTTCACTTCTCCTTTGGCAAAATGAAAATGGTTGTAGTGGCATTGAAGATGTGTGTGATCTCTTGGGATAATACATTGATGATTTGTGTTCTCTCATTTGTTTTTATGCAATGCCATATTCCTTTCAGATTTTAGCTGACTTGAGCTCATTTCAGCATCTTCACAGTGACTATAATAAATGATGAATTTGTTTTTCCTCATTTCTGTCCCATCGGCATTTTCCTGTGGGCATTGTTTTGCACGTTGAGGGTTTATTTTTCAGTCTGTTGTGCATTTTATCAGTGCTGTGGAAGTCTTTCTCAGGTCATCAGTCACTTCAGTCCATTACAAACTATTTCACTGGCAGCAGGTTTGTTATGTCACTCTTGTAACTGCTGAGGAATGTTTTGCTTCAAGTGGAGAAACCAGCTCAATCTCTTGGCTGTGATTATTGATTTCATCATTTGTGTTACCTGGGAATTTTTTTGAAGGCTGCTGTTTGATCTGTACTTGAAGATGATTCAGCTTTCATAGTATTTCCACAAGATATTTCCCAGCACTTGTGGATCTGTGTGTGATTTTTGGTTAATTTTTTAGTTTCTTGGTTTGGGTTTTTGGAGTTTTTTGTTGGTTTAATCCTTCAGAGAGTTTTCCATTTGATCTGTTTTGAACCTACATCACAGCAATACTTAATATTAGCAAAAGTAGTGCACAGAATACATATGAGAAAAACATTTAGAAGAGTCAAATAAAAGGGCAAAATACTTTAAAGCATTGGAGAAGAGCTTTAAAAAAAGAGAGATCCCATTGGAAGATCAGGATAAACATATTCTGCCAGTTAAAGGCACTCCAAGGCTATTCAGAAAAAATATGAGAGTGTAGGCAGATATACCTGCAAAGTAATTATTTATAAGAATAAGAAAAAATCAATAAGAAAAATTAGTGTGATACCTTCAATGGGAAATACCCATGAGGAAGGGTGGCTGATGTGTCTCTAAACTTTGTTCATCCCCTGAGGAAAAGGGCTGTAGAGATCCGCTCTCACATCAGAAAAGGCTAAATACAATTAAATTGCTTTTCTCTTGGTTTGCAGAAGGGAATATCAGATATGGAAGGCTTAGTTTACCTCAAGGCATCTTGACAGCAGGTTAATGAAGTGGTGTAGATTTCTGAGCTTCCTTCAAGTTTCTACCAGCCTGTGCCATGTCCATCTCTTGATTCAGCTTGTAGATCTTTATCCATCCCTTGGCATGTGCACTCAAGCATTGTGGAGTTTTTAATTAGAAAACAAAACACCACTGAGCTGATTTCACCTGTGTGAAAGGGGTCCTAAACTGAGTCTTCAGTGAGTAACTGAAAGGCATTGATAGACTTGGGGTTTTTCATTCTGAACACTGATACTGAATTTCACAGCTCTCATCTGTGTCCATGGTGGGAGATGATGAGCAATGCTTTGCTCCAGTGCGCTGTGATTTAAAAACAGGATGTTTATTGAAATTTGTAATTCACCAGCAGATCTTTGTCACGTGGGTTGTGAATCTCCCTTTGCTTCCCAAACTGCAGTGTGGTGTCTGAATCAAATTTTTTAGCCTTTAATGTGTGTTCATTTATTTTCTCAAGTAAGATTTCTGAAAGATGTACTCAGAGATGCTTTATTTTTTAATTGCTGGTGATGAATTTTCATTTTTAGGCTGTGTGAGCAGTATTCATTTAATATCTTTTAAATTATTGTGTTGTACCTTCTTCATTGTGTTAAAATATTTATTAAATTATTACAGGTAGGTTTTTTTTTTAATAAAAAGCAATACCAGAATTTCATCTTGATTATCTTAACAAAAAACAGAGCTTAATAACACTTTCCAAAGCAATATGTAGCAGTTTTTGTTTTAGTATCAAAATCAATGAACATGCTCACAGCACACTTAGGTACTTCAGCAGCCTTTTGCCTCTATTTGAAGTAAGTAAATAGAATTATTTCTGTTTATATTCAAATTTCTTAGCAATACTGTGGTTTCACACATGTGCTCAAGTTCCTGCACACTGTCCACTACAACTCACCATTTCATGCTTGGTGGGAAAACAGACTGGAAGCTCAGAATCTGGGATTAAGGGAAGTGGTGGATCCCTTTACATTGGGGGTAAATCAGAAGCAGGGACTTGAACCATTACATGGTCAGATACTCTGTAGTGACACAATCCTCTTCCTGAGCTGTGTGCAGGCTGTATCACTCCTGGGTTCTGGAAACCACCTTCCTTCTTCATTAAAACCACCTGCAAGTTATCTCTGAGAAAGGAGAAGGAATTACTGGTTGTTTGTTAATTAATAGTTAATGGGGTGTAGTATGAGAAATAAAGATTATAAAGAACACACTTCCCTGACATAAACATCTATCTGTATGAAAGCAGCCAATTTGCATTTTAATTTTAAGGGAGAAAAAAAAATTACAGAGTTCTCCCAGTCAGTCATAAGGTTTCCTTCTCTTCCCTGGGAATGGTGAGTGGTATGTTGGTTTTTGTTCTCTCTCTTGTAGTGGTTGTGGCTTTCTAGAGAGCAGTGACTGTAAAGCTCTGCCTTACTGTAAAAGAAAGGAGTTTTAGACTTGCTTGGCTGTGCTGCTGGTAGTTGTGTTAACATTAAATAACAGCCACATGACCCCTTGCGGAACACATCAGCTTGCTTTTTTTGGAAAATCTGATCACTTGCTTTACATGTTTTAGTATGTCATCCAAAATTATTTGCCCATGTGTTCATATTGAAAATCCCTGCTGGGTTATTGTCTTTAACCTCTTCATCCCCTCTGCTTCACCAGACTAGGCAGTGAAAAAAAAAATCACTTACTGAGTATTCTTAATCTCTGCTGATTCTGAAGTTATAGAATGGTTCCACTATTAATCCTTGCTTCTTCTCTCCTCTTTTTGAAACTTTCCCTTTGACCTAAATAAAGATTTTTGTGAGAAACACGATCTCGCTCTCTGCTGTGTAGTACAGGTTATAATTTAAATGTTCCCACAGTATTTTGTTAAGGAAATTAAAATGCTATGTATTCAAAAGGGAATAAAAACCAAAATGAGCTACAGAGAAAGTTCAGTTTTTGTATTCTTGGTCCTATGTCTTTCAGTTTTCCAGATCAGTTTAAATGTACCACATTAAGTAAGAAATTGGTGGTTGTAGTGATGTAGCTCCTGCTCCTGAGCTGACTGGCAGACTAAGGAAATAATCCTGGGGAGTACTTCAGGTTTGAAACTTCTGGTGGAAAAGGTAGAATACTAGAGGAAGATCAAGAAATAGAGTAAGTAAGAAATAGGAAGTTCGCTGCCCAAGAGAGAGGGGTCTTGCAAGTGAGATGAAATATTTCCTACACTTCCTAAAGGGAGGGGGAAATGCTTTTGGAATTCCCAAAGCTCTGTGTCTCTCCTGTGTCTGTCCCTGAACAATGGTGTGGATGTCACCCTAAGCTATTGAAGAATCAGAAGGGATGGCACAGCTCCTGGGTGCCTGTGTGACTGTGCCTCAACACCTCTGGAAAAAGGTTTGGATGTGTGTCTTCCCAGGCAGGGGCAGGATCTTTTATTTTGGAGTATTCTCAACTCTGTTGCTGTTGATGTCTGTACCCTGTGGGTCCTTAGATGTACAGGGCCAGGGCAATGGGGAGCTTCTGCCTAGAATCATTATGAGTTTTTCACTCTGTGATGAGAATTGCAAATTAAGGACATGGCCTGAATTTGTAAGAAATTCACATACTTTCCCTGAACCTGAGGTGATAACTAATTTTTTCCTGCTGTTAAGGGAGGGTTATCAGATGCCTGTGAATGAGTTCCCTTGTGTTCCTCCAAGTGCAGAGCTGTGATTCCAGTGGAAACTGGAGATGCTGAGGGATAGAGAATTTAATCAAGAGTCTCTTGAATGGCTCCCCTCTCCAGGAGCCTGCTCTCCTTTGGAGCAGGAGTAATTCAGGGCTGTGTGGTTGTGTCTTGCACACTCATTGAAGTGGAGGTGTAAGGACAGGGGCATGTGCTTTCCTGGGCTGAACATGCCACATGTTCCAGGGTAGATTTAGGTGGCACAACTTTCTAGTGAAAATTGAAGGAATATCTCTAAATACAAAGCCATAAATTCTGCATTCTTTCCAGTGCCTGGCCAAGAATCTCTGGGTCTTCTCTAACAAATACCAGCACACAAACTTCAAGTAGAAGAATTCAGGGTCCCTCTTAACTAGCATGAGATTCTTTAGTAGTTTTGGGTCATTGGTGAGAAAGATGCTAAGAAGTTTCTGGCTTTAAAAAGTCAATAAATTAGAGCTTAGACTATCCAATACCAAATTCTTTTAAACTGTGTCTTAAGTGACACAATTATTGATTACATGTTGAGTCATCTAAGTTATGTGGTAGCTGGATGTGTAGTGTGAATCTGGCTTCAGTGAGGAGTTTTCAGCATGGTAATAAAACTGAGAGCACTTCAGAGTGGATGATCTGGAAGGAAGACATGAATAAGTAAAAAGGGAGGGTTGTACTTTGCTATTATGCCACTTGAATAATTAAGCTGTGTCTATTTTGATTCTTTTTCTTGGTAGTACTGTGGAACAGGTTGTGTGCTGAATGTCTGCATCTATTCATGTCTGTTGTATACAAATGGAAGAGCTCATATTGGTACATGGAGTTATTTATGATTTTAATGAAAACTTCTTTGCTGAAATTAAGTGATAGTAAATAACCAGATGATGCAGTTTCCCAAAATAGGCTCCTTTGGAAGGGAAAACTGAAAATAGTGTTTCTTTTATTATTGTTGCAAATGATGACATTTTTTTGGTATTTCTTTAATGCAATGTGCCAAGTTAAAAACATGTCTTAGATTGAGTTAACTAGGTGTATCATCTCTGTAAATGTCTTCAGAAAGTGATTAAAAACAAAAGGGCATTTGGCTCTCTAGCTCAGGTTCATATTTGAAGCAGGATCTTTTGTGGTTACAAAATTAGGAAAGCTCTAATTCAGCAAAAGATGAATGGTAATAATCAATAACTCAACACAATTCAGAAATTACACTTGTGGAATCTCAGTTTTCACAAGAAATCAGAACAAGTGTAACTGTATTACTTCAATGTGTTGTTGCTCGGTTATTTTAAAACTTACAAGATTTGTGTCTCTATATGCCTTTGTCTCTGAACATGTGTTATGCACTAAATTAAAGAAGTGAATTTTCATCCTTGTTCTCCCAGGAGCTGGCAAGCTGTGGCTGGAATAAAAAAGAGAAATACAGTTCTGCACCAAATGCTGTTGCTTTCACCAGAAGATTCAATCATGTGAGTTATTTTTTTCCAGCATTATTAAATGTACACATTTTAGAAAGTCTGTGGGATTAAGTGTTCTGGCACATCACTTTTATTTTGGATCACAGCTGATTGCTTGACAACTTAAGGAACTCCTTTTAGCAAATACTTTATCTGTAGGATATGAAGAAAGACCAAACCAGTGTTGAAGAAATACTCTGTTTTAAATAGCAGCAATCGATGAAAAGTGCACATTTTCCCCAGAGCTGCTGGCTGTCTTTCATATGAAGACAGAATCATAATTACAGGTTCAAGGCTTACCATGCAGGATTTCTGGACTTGTAATTAGATGTAATTTTCTTCTGTGTTAGCTGAGTGTCTTATGCTTCTCATAGATATTTTTGTCCCTAGAAATAGAAGCCTCTTGTTAGCATAGGTACCTTTTTAAGGTGATTCTAGGCAAACTTTTAAGAATTCCAAACAATTTTTCTGTAAAAAAATTTGTTCTTTAACTCTATTTCACATAATTTTTTTGTAGTATATTTGAGATTTATGGGTTTTTTACTCAAAAATTTCTCTGTATAAATCAACTATTACAAGAAGAACAGAATTCTCCCTTTCTCCACAGTTAAAGCTGGAGGAGTCCAGCTTTAGTTACCCAATCATGTCTCAAAACTGTGATGCTCTTTTTAAGTAATGCTATATTTTCTCTTTCAGATGAAGTAATTCTGTTACTCTCCTCTCTCATCTTGTAAATGTTTAATGATGTCTCAAACTTACAAGCTGTGCTGCCAAATTAACCTCTGTATCCAGTCTCAGACTTACAGAGATCTTTGTTAATCATCTGAAACTCAGACCAAACCTCTCAACTTCGCAGGGTTTTTTTCCTATTAGTTCTTTGAGGATATGATCAGATCCTATTACTTTTCACTGACAACACTTAGAATATTTCTTAACCTACTGACTGAAATGCTGCTCTGGCTTTGAGTTTTGGACACTTGCCTGATTCTGCACTGGACTGAAAAGAGAATGTACACTGCAAACTTTCTGTGACTGTACCATCTATTGAGATATTGAGATCCTGGGGGGTTTGGTCAAGAGTTTGGGGTTTTTTGAGAGCTTGTTGTTGTTATTGTCCATACTCTCCATTTAGTTGAAACTTTCCTGATCTAGCTTTTGCTCCTGTTAGAATGTATAGGCTGCTATAAAAACATTCATGATTTTGACACCAATCTCAGATTCCAACATTTTCTGCCTTGCTTATTCATGGAAGTTGACTCTTCAATGAAATGTTTAGTTTTGCTGAATATTATGGAATGTTTTTGTGGTAAAAACCATGTGAGGCAGTGTAACTCATCAAGGACTTCACTTCTCAGTTGTTGTTATGTGCTCTGCTGAAGAGCTGCAGGAACTGCCTCAAGTCAGCTTCAGACATACTAAAGAATTGGTAGAATATACTCAGTAGCCAGAAGGAAGGAGGGGAAACCTTATCATGGAATAAGGACTTCCATAAAGTTTATATCAGCCTTTATTCTGGCAGCAAGGAAGCCCTGAGTACAGGAGTAGAGAGGGAAAAGGACAGATATTGTTTCTGCTCTTACAGAGCAGAACACTTACCTGGGGTGTTCTAATGCTTAGTCCTAAAATAAATAATCAGCAAAGTCACAGGGACTTGTGGCCTTGTCAGGCAGGAATACATGTCAGCAAAATTTTGTTAACCTTTAAAATTTCACTGGGGTTAAATTAAGCATTGTGCATCTGTCTCTTCTCTTTTTGCCCCCAGCTTGCCAAAGGAAAACCATGAACAGCTCTCACTTCTTAAATAAAGAGAATATGAAATTACTAACAGCTGCTGCACAGCAGAGTGATGTGCAGGTAGCATTTTGGAAGCAGTGATGATTCTGTGCAGTTGATTACATTCCACTGAGGATGAAGTCAGGCAGTTCCAGCATTAGTTATGGGCTAATTGGATGTGCCTGTGAAAACAGATTGGGTTCAGGCAACAGAAATCAGTGGAATCCTTCCATGCCAGGACTCTCCTGTTCTTGGAGAATTCATTGTTGAGTGGTTCCCCATATAGATCTACATATCTGATACATTTTTTTTTTTTTAAGTATGCAACTTAATGTGCTAGTTTTGCATTAATTTATATTTAGTGAGGAGGGAAGAATCTTTTTTTTCCCCTAAACTCTGATCTCTCATTTTCAGCTTTCTTCTGAAAGTGAGCTGTATACTTGCTGTTACTGGTAAACCTGTCAGAGTGCACAATTGCCAAGTCCACTTACTAGATCATTGTCTTACCTTTTGAAAATAAACTTTTATCATTTGTTTCAAATAAACAATTTTTTGAAGATTACTGTGAAAAGGTCACTATTGGTCTCTTGGTTATCAGAGTCCCTCAGCTGAAAACTGAAAACCTCTTTCTTGAGGTTTTTGTTTAAATGGGAGTTGAACTGTGCTGCCAGAGAGCTTAAAATATTAGAGAAACTTGTCAGCTAGATTCAGTACATTGGAACAATTTTAAAGGAAGAGATCCCACTTGCCAAAGGAAAATTTTATGGTTTACTGACTGTCTTTATATGTGTTTTTTACGTTTTTTTTGCATCCTTTTTTAACTCAAATGCAAACATTGTATGAAGAACTTTTTCTTGAATATTGTAGTGTTGCTGAATTGCAGTGGATTTAACTGGGATTATTGGAAATTAAGGAGTGGAATGGTTAGTATGCATGGAAGATACCTGAAAGGAAAAGCCAGAAACTATTAAAGGAATATTCTTGAATTTCCCTATTTTTTGATTAGCACAGAAAGCAAAGAGAGTTTTGGAAGCAATGACTATGAACTCAATAGCACCAGTAGAACAGAATTGGTGTTTTAGATATGGCAAACATGGGATAATTTAAAAATCTTAAGATATGATTCAAGAACAGATATGTTCAAAGTTAAGCCTGTTATTCTCAGTTGATCATAATAAGAGTATAAATATACAATTATATGTCAAGGCTTTAAATGCTGCCTTGAACTGGTATCAGAGCTATTGACACCCAAAGGCTGGAAGTCATGGTGCTGATTGTTGTTGATCTAATAACATTTAAATGTATCAAGAGAGGACTATATGGAACAAATATGTATTATTTATGTAAAGAATGAAACAAAAATATTTCTTTAAATTACTGCTTTTTCAATATGTGCAGTACATGAGGTTATGGTGCTGTCTAAAGATACCAGTTAATAGGCATGACCAGCCAAACCCCAGTGTTTGTGTCAGTAAAAACACATCAGAGAGGAGTGGAAGTGGTTGAAGTGGAAGTGATTAAGTGTGTTTGGTTCTGTATCTCCTGCCTGCTCTGTCACTCAAGGGACTGGAGGGCTCCAAGCTTCAAAGGAAATTTGTTCTGGTTTGTTTGGGCTTTTTTCTTTTCCTGCAAGAGCTGGGAGTGTTGAGCTGAGGTCTGGCTGGGACTGGGACAGAAACCAAGCTTCCTTGGGCAAACAGGAGAGTTTGTGTCTCTGTGATGCCAGGGAACTTGCACAGAAGTCAGGACAGACAGAGGAAATCAGGAGGTTTTTGTCCTGATGGAAATGCTGGAGTGTTGCTCTGTGTTCTGAGCAAGTGTGTCACAGTCTGGCCCATCACAGGCGTCCTCCTGTCACATCAGCACTCTCTGAACTTCAAATCAAAGAGATTTGGGATCTTAACGTGTAGTGCTGTGTGTGTTGTCCTTCCCTGATTCTTTGTGATACAGAAATCTGTGTTAAAAATTCAAATTTCCTTGATCTTCAGTGGAAAAGCATCTCCTTAAAAACTCATTGATCAGTCAGGGAAAGAAAGTTCTTTTTCTCAAGCTGTGTAACTACAGCACAGCATCAAACTAAGGTCAACCTTTTTAAGACAAAATTTTGAAGTACTGCCAAATATTTTATGTATTCAGTACCTCTGTATTTGATAGGGTCATAGAATATCTCAAGTTGGAAGGGGCTCATAAGGATCACTGAATGCAAATCCCTGCTCCTGGCAGGACTCAGTAAGGACACCTTCAGAATATTTAATTAAAGAAAATCCTGGAGAAGACCTGGCAACAATTCAACATGTATTTTTGTTTTCTAAACAATGAAGTAGGTGCAAGAATTTCAATTCTTTTTTACTGTCACTACCCCTGAGATTGTCTCAGCACTTGGTGCCCTGTCCTTAAAGGAAAATTATTCTCTAACTAAACAAAGGGAATAACAATCTCTGTCATTTAAATACAGCTACTGTCACTATGACTTTCAGATTATTACAATTTGATGAAATTTTCCGTATTTTCTCCTTTTAACTTTAAACAGTGGTTTCAAAACTTTGCTATTTTTGAACATGGCAACATATTGAGATTTTTTTTTAATCAATTGGAACCACTTTTTGTTTGTGAAGAGATATTTTGCTTTGCAAGAAAGCAAAAGAGGAAAGAAAATGAAGAAAAATGAAAAGAAATAGAAACCTGAGCTCTGTGGTTAATTCTTTCCTGGCTAATACAATCTTAGACAAACAGACCAAAGGGAAGTGATTCTTATGCAAGATGTTTGTGGGGATTTTTTGTGGGTTTTCCTGTCATTCTTCCATTTCTCATTTCCAAAGAGCTGTTGTGATTTAACAGCCCAGTTTTCATCAGATCCCTGTAGCTTCACTGCAGATGTAATCATTTTGGAGGTGTGGATCTTCTTTGTGCTCTTCTGTGTTAGGAGCTATTGTACTGTGCAAAGTGGAACAGGTTATTTCATTTTTCTAATTGAGATTTTGGCCAGAAACCTGTTTACAAGAAGTAGTTTAGCATCACTTAAAAATCAAAGCAACATGACATGTTGAAAGGTTTTCATGTATGAGTAAACTTGTAGTAAATTTCTTCATACACTGTTTTCAGTAGTTTTGCAAATACCAGTCATGCTGTATCTTGGTGATAATTAATTTTTTCCCAACTTGTAGCAAATACATGAATAAAAGCTGCAGTATTTGTTACCCTTTGCTAATTATTTACTACTGATTTATTACAGTGTTTAATTTTTGTCACTCTTTGTGAGGGCAGAGGGTGGCAGGGAGCAGAGAAGAGAAAACAGTGGAGTTTAGACATATTACCAAACATTTTTAGAGTACAGCCTCTATGAGATATTGATGTAAGTATGAAATGCAGCAACCACTGTTTATACTGAATTTAGCAGGGACCTTCCACAGCAGTGAAGTCAGTCCTGGAGAGCTTAACCAAGAGCATGACACTGTGCTGTATATCAGAGGGTAATTGGCATAGCCAGAAATAAGAGTATAAACTAGAAGTTGGGTTATGGCAATGCTTCCTACCTTGCATTCTTATTTTGTTCAGGGTTAATTTTTGTTCAAGGTGTTGGAAATGTCAATGAACTGTAGTTGAAGCTGCTCAATTCATGTAATGCAGCATTTATGTTGTGGGAAAGCAAACCAGTGGATATGATTCAATGTTAGTGTTTATATTCCTTCATTTTGTAGCCTTTTCATAACATTTCTTCATGATTTTATTTTCCTGGGAGAGCACTATTCAAAGTTTGAGTGTTTTGCCATTTGCTTTGTGTGTGATCTCACCCTCAATCTTACACTGAACTCAAGTCTGTTTCCATAGACCATACTTCCATAAAAATAAATAAAACTTTTAAAAGCATAGTGTTGAAACTCTGTATTTTTAAAAGGCTTTTTTCCCTACATTTTAGGTGAGCTTCTGGGTTGTTAGAGAGATTCTGCATGCACAGACTTTAAAAATACGAGCTGAAGTTTTGAGCCACTATATCAAAACTGCAAAGGTAAGAATTTGTATTGTGAAAGGAGTGTGGGATTCACCATGATCAAAGGTTTTCTACCCAGTTTGATCAGTTCAGAAATACACATGGGGAAATATCTGCCTGATACCTGACTTATCTGTGCTTGTTTCTGTTGACATCTGTAACTGTTTTGCCTCTGTGTTGTCACAAAGTGTGCAGTCAGTTTAAACAGCTTTAGTAAGAATAGAAATTATTTGTTTGCTTTTGCCATTGGAAGGAAAGGATCTTTTATCTCTACTCAAATAATATCAACTTCAAAAATGTGGTTTGAAAAATAGACTTTGATTCAGAAGACATTTTGGAGCTCTCAGTCTTTCCTAAAGCCTTTTGGACTGACATTCATAAGAAAAGGGTCAGCAAAGCTGGAGTGACATATAGCCCTTCAAACAGACTGAAACTTCTTCACAATAGTGAGAAAAAGGGGATGTTTTTCAAGTTTCTGCTGTCAGATGGTGGCTGCCTTTTACTATAACTGACTGCTGTGACACCCCAGGTTACCTGCAAAAAAAAAAGTAAAATATTTGTTAATTAATTCATTTTGTATTCAAGTGCATTCCCTGTCTTGACAAGCCCTTTTTTAATGAAGCAATATTTTACTCCTGTGGGATTTGACTCTCAACTTTGGGCAAAGCAAGAGCTAATTTTGTAGGATAGAACAGGCTCTGCTCAGTAATCATGCTGTGGTCATGAAGTGTTAATGATCTCTCTTAGACATCCTTTGATATCTGGTGAGTTAATGTATCTTCATCTCATGTATTTTTAAAAGTCAGTTCTTGTGTTTTTGCTTGAAATACAAACATAAAAGAATTGGCTTCATGATCCATGTCCCTGCATAGGAGGAGGAGGTCCAGCTCTGTGTGGCCATAGTGCAGAACAGGTGTGGGAGGCCAGCTGGGCTCAGGTCTGTTCATGCTGGGATGGGACTGGGCACTGCTGGGTGTTGTAGGCTCAGCTTTGGGCACAGCACCCTGAGCATGCCTGACCTCACAGCCTGACTGCAGTGCAGTGGCTGCTGGAATGCTGCTGGCTTGGAGGCACTTACGTGCTCTGACAATCAGGTGATTGAGCTTTGCTTACCTGTCAGCTGTAAAAATCACAGTTACAAAAGCAAGCAGCTCTGTATGGGGTGTTTCCATACCAGTTCATTTATTTCTGTGCTTGTTACCTTGGCTTTGCTTACATATGGCTGCTAACATGAAGTTACTGCAGTGGAACTTCACTGGAAACTCTTGGAAGCAGTTTCTGTTATCCAGAGCTGTTATCAAAGCAGCTTGGTGCCAGGGGTCACACTAATTACCTTCAGAGGAGCTGTAAATCCACTCCACAGTGATTCCTTGTGCTGGCAACATATTGTATGGCTTAAATGGTATCTCATCTGCACTGCTTAATGCATGAGGTAATTGGAGCTAACAGTTCCCCTGAAGTTCCCAGACTGTCCTGGTTGGTGATGACTCCTGTTTCACTGCTGGCAGCAGCTGGGAAACCCCTTCTTTTCATTTCTGATCAGCTCCATTGTCTTTTGGGACAGTGAACTTTATTACCTTGCTTGGGATGTGTGTGGGAGGAAAAAAGAATTCTTGTGTAAGTGGAGGGACAAACTTCAGCAGGACTGCTTGGAAGGATAACAGGACTGTGGTGTATGAGAAACATCCAAACCCTTCCACCTCACCCCACAAAACACTGATTACCCTTTACACTGGTTACTGAAGAATCCTCCCAAAAGAGGATGAGGAGAGGGAAGCTCTTCATCACAAGGCGTGGGCAAACTTCCACTGTCAGCAGGACATGCTGGAATCATGGAGGTCTGAGCACCCAGAGTGGAAATGCTGCTAGGGTGCCGTTAAAGTGGCATTTCTGACTAATACTTGTGAGGACTTTGTTCCATAAAAGACTGCAAGTTTCCTGGCAGTGTGTTAAGTGGAGAGAGAATCATTTGCCCTGTTCCAGAACTGTTAGCCAGAAAACCACCCTTGGTTTTGGCTTTCATGCTTCCAAATAGAGGCTCTCCTTTGGTGTTGAGCATTTAGTCAGTGTTCCTTTGGTCTAGTTTTGTTGTCCTTTTCCCTCATGAAAGATTTCCTAAGCACAAAGTAAGCTGAGTTTCAAGTAGGACAAAGAATTTCCACCATTTTTTGAATAGGAAGGGTTTCTTATTTTTCCTTGCTGGAATCCTAACCTACCTTGGTGAATATTCCAAATGGATTAAACAAGATTTGCAGTACTGTGATTGAGTATCATTTCTCCTTAGCAAAGTCTCTCTGTAGGGTTAAAGCCTCAATTTGGGTGCACTGCACCAAAAATGAGTGTAGTTTGGATCTCTGGGAGCTCACAGCTATCAGAACAGCTTATGTTCAGAAGAGCTTCAGGAAGAACATTTTCCTCCAGACTGTTTTTAAGCTTTCACTACAGTAGTACCAGTAGTTACTTGGCCAAGGCAGTGGATGGTTTTGGAGACAGAGGGAAAGGAAAAAGAAAAGGGAGGGAAATTCCAAATGTGTGAGAAAATGCACTTAAACCCAATGTTTTGTATAGAGTTTTAAGGGAATTCTTTTACCCTAATATTTTTGTTGTTCAATTTTGATTGGGTTGTTGCTTTCCACAACAAGTTAGTTGTCATACCCCAGAAATGGTATTTTCAGTGAGAGGGGTACTCTAGGGATGTGGCTTTTGAAATTTACCTCCTTGATTTCATCCTGCTAAGATATTTTTTGGGTGCTTGGATGTAGCCTTGGTCATTGCATAAACTCTAGGTACTGACATGATTACATCATTCACCACTGGGTTGTCCTTTCTGGTGTGTTGTTTTAAAATACTATCGAGTGCTATGAAAGGAATTTGTTGGGTTTGAATGTCAGAAAATTTCTGGCACTTCTAATATATTCCCCAAGATGTGTGTCTATATAGATATTTATAAGGGTTCTCTATGGGCTATGAAACAGCTAGTTAGTCTAATCCAAAACCATAGAGATGCAGTAATGAAAAATTAGGAGGTGCCATAAAAGTGGTCTGTATGCACAGCAGTTCACTGTAACACTTCATTTAGGACCATACTAGATTTCTCCATCTTTATATTGTCATTTATTCTGTGTTCACTATTGACAGCATTTGGAATGTTGTTCATTGTTGGTTTTTTTATCTTTTTTTTTGTCCTCAGAAGCTGTATGAGCTGAATAACCTGCATGCCCTCATGGCAGTGGTGTCAGGCCTCCAGAGCGCTCCCATCTTCAGGCTGACCAAGACATGGGCGGTAAGTGGGGAGCAGCAGGGCAGGGGAGAGGGGTTCACTTCCCAGGTAAACACAACATCCTGGAGCTCCTTTTCAAGGCTGCAGCAGTTGCTACAGAGAGCTTTAACTGTGTACATAATGCTTCTAGTTCCTCTGAAATCTATGGTTTCCTCTTAATTTTTTTTTTCCGTTCTGCTGTAGAAATATTTTCCTCTGAAAAATAGTTCCCTGCAGAGGCTTCTCATTTGGCCAGAACCTATTTTGTATTTAGTTGCTGGAAAATTCTGAATGCCAAAGTGGGTCATACTTTAATCATTTAGGGGTTTATACTGTTGGAATTCTTTTTTTTGCTATGGAGAGCAGATGTTCAGAAACTCTTGATTCAGTTTCCATAAAGAGATTTGTTGTTTCTCTGACTGATAACTCTAGCACTTTTCATTATCATTTCATACTTACAGCTCCTTTACACAGTGTATTTGTAATTCTGCCTTTGTGGTTATGAAAGGACAGTATTCTTTAGAATCATTTTTATTTGTCATCTCTTTTTTGACTGACATTAATATTGTTTATCATTATATCCTCAGTAAGAAGAATATTAGGATTTACTTTTGCACATTGATACTTCAGAGCTTAGAAAACAGTCTTTATTCAGCCATATATTGTGTAGTTTTTCAGCTGTTTCAGATAAATGTGACATTTGGTGTGACAGAAAAGGGATTGAGATCCTCCTGTGCACAGGATACACATCACTAAAAAAAGCTGAAAGCTTTCCCTGAACACACATCAGTGCATCCTTGGATGTTGCAGAAAGTTTATTTGTCTGATAACTGCATGAAAATGTCATTCAGTTGATAAATATTCCCAAAATTGAAGACAATTCACTTCTGCCAAGATACTCCTCTAGAATTCTGGTCATATTTTGTCAAATGCACAATTAAGTTAGACATTGCTTCCAAATACCAAAAATCTCTCTGAGGAAATCTTAGTGAAATTAACACTTCAAAATTATCTCAAGGGGAACTTCTGGTTTTCAGACTTTGTTTTGGAATTGATGCCTCAACAGTTTTATGTAACTGTGAGGCTGAGTCGATTTTTAAATCTTTTTGTGCACAGCTCAAATTAAATGTAACTATTTCCATATATTAATAATAACCACATTCATTACTGCCATGATAATGGCACTCAGAACAGGAAGTGCCCAGCTTCTTTTGATGTTTGGTTATTCACTGGTTTGCACTTACAAGGGTTGTTTGTGTGCTCTTGACATATGTATCAGTCATTAAAGCTCATCCATCTTCCAGCCTCTGAAATTCCAGGTAACTTCTCCCACATTTCTGCAGGTGTTTGATTCCTTACACAATCCCAAGTGAGTCTGTGCTTTCCATCATCTTACATGAGCCTTTGCAAATGCAAGTTGCAGGATAGCTCCCAGCAATGTGCCCTGCAAACTGATTTAGTTGTCCTTCTCTTCAAAGTTCAGCTTAAAAATTCCTGAAGATAATTCTAAGCCTTTGGCTTTCTGTATATTAAAAGCAAGAAAAGGCACACCAGGCCTTTATTTGAATCACAAAGGGATTTGGGTAAGTTGCACAGGAACCCTCCAAAACCTTCAACAAGGAAGAATTTCTTCTCCCTTTCCGAGATGGTTTGTAGCAACTTTCAATCAACTCGATTTACAAAGTCAGGAAAATAACTGCAAGTATATTCATTCCCTAAAAAAAAAGAAAGCCACCTTAAATGGTTGGAATCTAGAGTTTAAAGGAGCCATTAAATACTTGCTTGGTAATCTCATGTTCCTAAAAAAGATGGAATTCATTCTTCTGACGGTATGTCTGCATTTGTCTGAAATTTGTCTCACTCATTGCCTGCACACACTCTGAACTCTGGAGAATAATAAGTGCTACTTTTAATGTGTGATTTGCCCCATTCAAAACTTGAGAAGAATTGTGAGTCTTTCCAAGAAAGTTCACAGAATAGAATATTCAGCTTCTCTCCATTTAATGTAAAGGAATTCTTGATGACCAGTGAGGGTTTGGGCAATAAAGTAAATAATCATTAAATATGTGAAGTGGGGTGACCCAGCATCCTGAGACCTCATCTCTTCTTGCTGGCATTTCAAAAAGGTTGTATTCAGTGCTGGCACCCTACAGCTAGAAAGCCAAGAGCAATTTAGAAGGCTCCAAATCCTTCCCTGCTGCTATAAACTGTCAGCCTTAGCTTTTATTGTCTCAGCATTTGTACAGCTCTTTACTGTTCTTTTCATCCAAGAGACAGAAGGAGAAACATTATTAAAAAAAGAAGCAGCTCCAAAACTGAAGGACTAAGAAATAGGTCCTTACTTGGCCCTCACAGAAACATTTCTGATGTTCTTGGCTTCTCTGGACTTTTCTCCCTGGGTGCAGGAGATGGAGGCATGGCATGGATTGGCTTAGGAGCACCAGGGGAAGTCATGCAGGATCAGCTTGTTTGAGATGATCCAAAGAGCCTGAAACGATACATCAAACTTGAGTAAGAGTGTGCAAATCAGCATGGTTTGAGGAAAATACAGTTCATTTCATTCAAGTTTGAAAATTGTTATATGTTGGTCTTGTCTCACCCTTCAGTCTGCAAAACTACAAAAACCTTTCAGACATTAAATGATGGCAGAATGTTTTATGATATTAGAAGCAAGCTACTCCAGGCTGATAAAACTGGAATCAGCTTTGAGATGAACTTCACAAGTAAAATGTCACATTTGGGTGGTTGGAGTCATGTCAGTCTGCTGCTTCCTTCTCCTGGAAGAGTCTGCAATTCTCTTTTGAGTATTGGAACCAAACCTAAATTAAAGATGCAAATTAATTGCTGGAATGTCAATGATGAATATGTCTTGGGAGACGATTCACTTTCAACTAGTGGCTTTCTCCTGAGATCCAGCATTCAGTTTGTCTGTCCTCATAAAGTGTTGGATATAGGGAATTGAAGTAAAAATAAATTATTTCAATAGTGAATTTACGGAAGGGAGACTTCACTTCTGTCAGGCTCACCTACGTTGATCTTTAACTGAAGTGAAAAGGGAGTATGTGTAGAAATTCAGTGATCTGGCCCTTGTCATTGCATTGTAGGGGGAAAATTGTGACTGGGACTTGGAACACTGAATCTCCTGCCAAAATGTTTGGTGGGAACATCTTACACTCTGTTAAATTCTGATTCTGAGTTGAAGTGAAGACTATGAGGCAGTTTTGCAGCAGCAGTTCAGCAAGGTGTTTGGAAAATATCTTGACTTACTTTCCCTATCTTACAAAGAGAGCCTGGTTGCTGTTAATTCTGTCAAAGGAAGGGATTGGAGGCAGGAGGGATGATAATGAAGGAGAACCATGACTTTAAAGTTTTCTGTTCAAAGTGGACATTTCTGTGATATTAAGAGCCAGTAAAATTGCCAGTTGGCAGACAAATACAACTCCATGAGCTTTCTGTAAAAAACATAGATAAAATCCTTCCTCATATCCAAGATAATAGCCCATACTAGCCACTGTGAAGAGAATTGACTCCTTCCCATCCCAAGCCAGCACACTTATGGATAATCAGAGTGAAAATGTTGCTGCCATGAATACTGCTGAAGTGGACTGCACATGAAGCTGTGATGTGTGTTAGTTAGATTTGGTTTTTGGTAACTTACAGTGTTTCAGAAGGATCCTCCAGGATACCAGCATTTTTACCTGCTTAATTTTTAGAAGTATTTTTAAATTTAACCCCCAGAATTGTTGCTTTTCTTTGTAAACTTTTTAAGTGCTCCTCTTTAAGAATTAAATTATGTAATTTTGAAGCAGTTGAGTTAAAAAAAAAAAAAAGTGAAAAAACCAGCACACCAATAACAGCAACAACAATGGGGAAGTGGAAATCTGTGCTTGTAAGGGTAAAAGAGGGAATCATAATGGTCTAACTTAAACTTATCTGGTTTTGCCTTCTTTTTCCTTTGCCTAGTTACTGAGTCGGAAGGATAAAGCCACCTTTGACAAGCTGGAATATGTGATGAGTAAAGAAGATAATTACAAAAGGCTCAGAGACTACATCAGCAGCTTGAAGATGACTCCTTGTATTCCCTACTTAGGTAAGCAGCCTCTTTCTCCAGTAATTACACAAGCTAAACACCATTTTTTAAGCATTCAGGAAACTCTGAGTACTTTAGTGGAGAATCTACAACCCAGAGTGATTCTGAGCACTCTGTATGTGGCAGGACAGAACCTCAAAAAGAAAAATACCTCTTAAAGCTCACAAACACTGCAGGTTTTACATGCAGTATCAGTTTTCTAGGAAACTATTTTGCCACATGTTGTACAGATACAGTGACTTCTGGAGAAATACTTCATTGCTATACCTGCTAGCCCTCCTAAATACTAAATACTTGACTGTTCTAGTAATGATGGCTTTTAATTTATGAGAAACTATAAATCACAAGCCTCTGAGAGAAATAAATATAGATCTTAGAGTTTGGAACGTGGTAAAATGTGGAGATATTGCTGCATTTAATATACACCAATGTGACAAGAGAAACTAGGTTGGTATAACTGACTCAGCCTTCTGGAATAATTATTAGTAAATTATAATTCTGTGTATCTAAAAACTAGATAAATGCATTTAATATGTGTTGGTTTTGTTTGTCAAGCTGATTTAGTGCTACTTAAATTAACAGGCATTAAAATATGCTGTTTTTAATGTAGCTTTTGTTTCATGAGCTGTTGGTAATCACACAAAATTAAGGCACTTTATATCCAATTCTTTGTATTTTTGCAGATAATTAGTTGCTCTTATACCTGAATTCAAGATGAGCTCTTGTGGTCATTAAGGCCTGTTAAACTCCAATTTCTGTTCCTGAATTTTGACACTTCCTTTACTCTGCTGGGCTGTTCACTTTTCCTGGATTAATTGGTTGAATTTTATATGCTTGCTACAGAAACAGAAAAAAATACTTCACTGTGGGGGACCAGATTTTAATGCCCTGTAGTGTTTGGCACAAACACTAAGGCACAAAAAGGAAACCAAGCATTATGTAATGTGATGAACCATGGAGCTTTCCCATTTTATGTACATGGACAATGTAGAGACTTGGTATATATTTCTGAAATATCAACTTCTTATGCTGATGCTTTTGACCTGTATGCCATGATTTTTCAAACATGAAGCCAGCATCAAATTGTTTTCTTGCTGGTTGTAAAAATCCCAAGCAAAATATTGGGAAACAGTTTTTAAGTTTTATTCAGTTACAGATGTTTTCACCAATAAGTTGCAGCTTCTTGTGTAACTTTTGCATTAGAACAACCTTTGGGCTTGACTTGATAGTTTGAAGTGAAATATATAATTCTTTTCTGTTTAGAAAGAAATGCTCTTTACTGTGACCTGCTGTAGTTAAAGCATGTGTTGTGTCCTGGTTTCCTGTGATACCAGTTCTTATTAGTGACATAAGGAATGTCCTCAAGCCTTTTTTAATTCTCCAAAGGAGTAGTGAATTCCCACTGGAGCACTCCCTCTAAAATTCATTTTGTGCAGTTTAAAAAAAGTGGCAAAAAAAAAACTATTGCCTTGAACATAGTCATGCTAAATCTGGATCCACTTTGGAGGATTGATAGCTGAGTCCAAGTTTTCTCATTTGATAAAAGCTTTAATCTCTGCTAAGGCCTGAGTAGATTTGTTATTTCTTCCATTTTCTTCCCAAGGCATTTTTACTAATGTAAGAGTAATTTGGAACAGAAGTGACTTAAACTGCTTGTTTAACTTACTGTTTTAAGCTTATCAGTTACAGGTTGGAATTCCTAAAAGGAATACTTCTACTATAAGATTCTGTAAGGGAGTAGTGCTGCTCCTGGTTTAACACACATAGGAAAGCCTGCCCAGAAGTCTGCAGATGGAAGTGGTGATCATGGCATGTGCAGGGCAGGGATTCCTCAGGAGAACCATTCCCTCTCATGGTAAAAGGAGGAGTGGGGGCTCCTTCAAAATGCTCTTTGGAAGAGTGTAGGGCATCAGAATTGCCATACAATTAAATTTACCATTGCAAATCCCCTCTTGAGAAACACTGGTCATGGACACCTCTGTTTGGAAGGTCACAGGGAAAATGAGCTTATAAAGGAATTTCAGCTGCAATTTCAAGGATGAATGTTTCACCCTTATGCTGCCAAATACCAGATGTGGGTATAGATTTTTTTATGCCCATCTTGGCATTAAAAGAAAAAGCTGAAATACTTTCTTGGTGTAGGTTTTGCCAATAGGAGTGAAGCCACAGAAGTACAGATTGGTGTCTTGTTTCCTTCCACAGCTCACCCTCTGTGGACAAGATAATGATGTGCTTCCACATTTAGCTGGGGGAGGAAGTAAAAATGTTTCTCAGCTCCTTGCAGCAATGATTGTGATGTGATTCCAGAATTCTAGAAATGCAGGTGAGAGCAGCACATCATCAGTGTGCACTCACCTACTTGAATGTGGGTATGAAAAGCTGTGCAACACCAATAAATATGTTCAGCAGCAGACCCTTGATACACAGAATATGTCAGCAGTGTTGCATCATCCAGACAACTGAAGCAGCCAGAAAAAATGGGAGCTGTGTATGTGATGCTATATTTCACCTTAGAGTAAAACCCTGTTCTCCAAGGGAGTCTCATTCCAGAGTTCTGATCCATTTGAGATTGCGCAATGAAACAACGGAGCCATATCTTGAGAAGTAAGATTTTTATTTAACTAAGCAGTACTACCTTGTGAGATATTTTTCTTATACCTGTCTTTGAGAAGTGATATCCAGAAAGAGAAAAGCTGAGAACAGGTTCTTAAGTGTTCATCTGAGGAATATTCAGCTGCTTCAGTGATAGTGTTTGCAATAGGTTTTGGAAATAGATGTGATAACCATGTTTCAGGTTTTGTATGAGTTGAAATTTCTTGAGGTCTGCCTGGTTAAATTTGGACTGATGGAAGTGGAATGGTGAAGGCTTTATCCTTCCCAGACAGGCTGCTTCTGAGTGCCCAGGGCAAGAAGCCTGAGGGATGCTACAGGCTCTTCTGAAAATCTTTCAAAAGAAAAGGTGTGAGAGAAAACATTGAACTTCTAAAGTCATTCACCCTGCTTAGAAAACTCAGCCCAAAAGCTGCAAACCGATAGAGTTACAAGCACTTGAAAGTGAATTATTGTACAGAGCGTGAACCAACCTGAAGAAAACATGCTATGCTTTCCTTCCTCATAATCTTAAATTGGCAACTTAATTAACTCTTTCCTTTCAGAGCACAGCATTTGTACAGTCTGAGGTTTCTCGGTGGATTTTGTAATGATGTTTAATTAATGTCATCCTGCAGCTTTAAATTGGGGAAGGCTCACTTTTTATATGTCTAATATATCAGATTTAATTAAAAGGCTGAGTGCAAGCTAATTTTAGTTTGGGGTTTCTGCAAAGTGCACCTTTCACTGAGTACACTGAATAAACAAACACTGCTTTTGTAGCAGACAAGAGATTCATGGGGAAAAATACACTCTCTGCCAAGGAGAGGAAATCTGCCTGTTGAATGAACTAAAAGCTGTCAGAAGTGATCATTAAAGGAATGTTTTGGAGGGCATTTTCCTTTTTTTAAGTTTACCTGAACTGCTCTTCTATCCAGCTACCATGGAGAAAAAAGGACAGGCTCTAGAGAGTCAGACTTTTAAGCATTTGCAATTAAAAAATGTTTTGCAAGACACTCAATCAATGAGGTCTGTGTGATATTTGTAACAAACAAATATTCCTTGTATGAAGAACAATTTCAGAATTGTAATCATAAACATTTGTGTCAGTTAAAATTCTTGGAATTTAGGGATGGAATATGCTGGGACTGGTTCCCCACCGCTGCCAACCCCAATTAAATATTAGTGGAACTGGTTGGCTTTGATCTCTGACCAAAGATTTAACTACAAGCCTTGCAGCCATACATTATCAATGAAGCTTTATCTCTGCTCCAGGGGGTGTGTTCTGAAAGCAAAATGTTGGGTTTTGTCCTCTGAATTACATCTGAGGCTTTGCATGGTAATTGATATTGACTAATTTAACATAACAATAATGCTAGATTATGGTTTCTTATTTAAATAGGGACAAAGTTCCTTACAATCCTGAAGGCACCTATGGGTTGCTAAACAAACACATTGATTACAGTTCAGAACAGCATATTCAGTTTTACATAATATAAAATTAAATTAAGCAACCTGTGTGGCTATAAGTGCAGTTATAAAATAATTTTGTGTAACAGGAAGAAAGATTCTGGTACCTAAAGAGAATGTTTGGTTGTATCTAATTTTGGAAATATCTTGTTTTGAGTCAGTGTGTGGTATAGTTTTTGTTAAATGTTGGGAAAGTATTTTGTATTTAATTTCTTAAATTACATGTTAATTCCAGTGAAAATCTGATATCTAGAAGCTAAAATTTAGTTTAACAGTATCAAGAGTTGTATAGGGGTAAGGGAAGAGAAATGTGTGTGTCATAAGAGCAGCCCAAGTTTGGGATGTCAGGGAGAGCACGCTCAGAGCTGATTTCTAAGCTTTGTTTTACTGTGGGAGCAGAAAGCTGTGTTGGTGGAAAACTTCTGACATTCAGAGACTTATCTGGATGACTGTGTGTGAATGCTTGGTCAGCCCTCATCACTCCTAAGTGGAGCAGGGAAGTGTCAAGTCATGATTTTAATACCAGAACTTTCAGTTTTGCCATTAAAGTTCAAAGTTTAATTTGAAAGCTTGAAGGTAAAAAAAAGTACCAAGTAATTTGGCTGTCTCAGGTTTATCAATAATTTTATACAATTGACTTTCTTACGCAAGGAACATTTTGCCTAAATTTTTTACAGAAGATAGAACTTGCAGATCTTGGCAGTGTAGAGAATTCCCTAAGAAGTTTGTATTTTGTGTTAAATTTGCCTCTTCATTTTGGAATAATTGTTTGTTGCAAAAATCTTTCTCTGCTGGCAAAGCTAAAATTTTTTATGTAGGTTCTTGGAGTAAATATCAAACAGTAATGTGAAGTCATATTTTTCATTGAAAGTAATACCAACATTTTTAAATAAATTGTTAAATAACTAATCAATTTTCACATTAAAGCAAGACAATGTCAT